GCTTTCCCCTCGTACCCTTCCTTGACCTTCCCCTTCGCGTTCTTCTTGTCTTTGCGCGGAGCATCCCATTCGAAAAACGGAGGAGGCGCACCTACCGCGAAAGTGCTAGTCTGAGTCTGGCCCACCGTCAGCTTCTGGTCAACACACACTGCCCCCTCGCTGAACTTCGTGCTCCACCTGCCGTTGGCGAAATAAATTTTCGCCTCCTCCGGACCCAAGCACTCCTCCGTCATGACCGAAAGCCGCAACACCTTTTGCTTCCCCCCATACTTGACGTTCATGTTCGATACATGCAAACCATCCTCTCGCTGCTTCCCATGGCCCGACGAGTGGTCGACCTCGAACACTATTTGCATGTCGGGATCGATGTGCTCCAAGACGTCCATCACGTCTTCGACCTGTTCTTCGAACTGGTCGTAGCCCCAGTACCCATCCTTGCCTTTTCCGTATTCAAGAAACCGGAGTCCAGGGCTTCGCGTCAGGGTTTTTTTGCCGTTCCCCTCCTCATCGCGTTTGGAGTTCACCGCCGCCAGGTCGGCATCCGAAATAGGTAAGCCGAAGCCGTGTCTTCCTGAAAACCAGACACCATTTTCCCTGGCCCCTCCGTCTTTTTCCGCAGTCCGCGCACCCCTCGAATCACCCACTCTTTGCCCTCGCGTGCATACGCCTTGTAGGCACTCTCGTCCTGCCCGATGTGGTGCACTTTCCTGCCGCATCTGCACTTGTTCGGGAGGTGGAAATGCTCGCACTGGGCAGCAGCGGCCTGATCGAAGCAAACGCTGTAGTCCCCACCCTCTGGACCAAGTGCGGCGCGGAGCTTGTCGAAGTTATCGACGGAGCCGTCGTCGCGCAGGAGATCTACGTGGAATTCGATGCAGTCTTGTCCATCGATCTTGCAGTCGTACACCTCTGCGTAGAAATCTCCTTCCGGGCCTCGCGACTTAAGGCTGTCGAGTCGGTCCACCTCCTCCTGCTTGAGAGCGGCTCGTTGCACTCGTACCCACAAGGGTTGACGCAGCGCCATCTTGCGTCTCTTCTCTATGTACTCGCCGCGGTACTCGACTACCTCCTTCTTCTCGTGGGTGTCCGTGTAGAACGACTTGGTACCCCGCTCGTACCTGCAACCCAACCTTATCATCCACGAGTGCATCGTGGACATCGAAACCGGAAGGTTCACCTGGTACGCATGGAGCCTGGAAAGATCCTCCTCCTTGTCGTCTTGGAGCAGAGGCCCGTTGATGTACTTGCAGACTTCCTTGATGGTGAAACGCGGTTGTGATATCATCCACGCCAGCAACGCACTCTTCAGATCCTCCTCTGACATGATCCAGTCCGGCTCGTGCGCACCCCGTGCATCCCGCCTGAAACCACCTTCCTTCCGAAAGTCTCTGAGCCACCTCAGGATCGTTGATGGCGCATAAGCCTGCGGACTAGAACCTGCTACCTTTGCCGCCATCCGCAGGAGCGAAGCCTCGTGCCGAACCAACGACGCCTCGTTGAGCAGGTCAAACCGTTCGGCATCGGCTTCCTTCACGGCGGCATCCGTTGCATGCTTGCAGCCGGACAAAACCTCGTTCGCCTTCCGCGTGAGCTCCAGCTGCTTGACGTCGCGCTCCCGCTCCTCTTTCAGCACCTCCAACGATGAGTACGCTTGCTGCCACAACCGGATTATCTGCTTCTCGGCTACTTTTTCCTCCGGCGGTTTTCCCGTGTCCTCGGCCCACGTCCTATCGCCCGCGTTCTCACCGTCCTCCACGGAAGGGAGGGGGAGGGGGAGGAGAAGGCTGGGGAGGTGGCCAGTCCGGAGGGCGTCCTGGAGACGCTTGATGTGTTGCTCGTTGGCTGCAACGTTTGCCGTCAAGTCTTTGATCCGGCCGCCGAGGTAGGCTCCACGTTGATCGAAGGCCTTTCGAAGCTTTCTGTCTCTCCTTCTCCAACCCCGCTCTATCGAGCGTTTTTCGCGGCTGGTGAGCATCTGCTGCATCGCAAATTCCGCGCGGGTCGCGTCGGAGCCAGCCCGCCGCTGTCGCTTGAACTGCCGTTCCTGTGGTCGGCCGATGATCCCGAGGCTGTTGAGCGATTTTCCTGCTTGAGCGGCGGTTGGGAGTTTGAAGCACGAGGCAGTGCGGCACATTGTTATTCGTTGTTTTGCACTACAGCAATACTTGCAGCAAGTATTTCAGAGTTGGAGATCACCCAAGTAGTACGTGATGTGCAGAGGTGCAACAACCGGTCAACCTTTCGCGAAAGTGTGACGACATCGGCGCATTTTCATGCAGAGTTTTACTTTCAGACCGAAGTACGACACATGATAACACACCCCCTGGGTCGATTTCCACAGCTCGATTACTCCACGACGAAGAGGATGCATGAACAACACGATACGTTTCCGGAGAGCTCTCGACAAGACAGCTTCAACACCGCCGTTTTCGGCGCTGCGACTCGTTCTGCTGGTGATGAATCGAGCTTTCAAAATCCGTCCAGGGGGGTGTGTTATCTTACGTCATATACGGCAGCACATCGTTGCAGCAAACACATCGGGGTGTACAGGTACCATATTGTAGCAAAAAATGTTGTGCGTACTGCTGTAGGCGCCTCTAGTACCAGAACAACAGACGAGTAATGAAGGCAACTCATGTGAACGTGGATATCACGTTGGGCGATTACACTTGTGCGTGCGAAGCATGCCGTCGAAAATTCAAAAATCTCGGCTGACGACCACATCTCCCAAAAAATGTGGTCGTGTACAAATCAACATACGCCGCCATCTCTTTTATAAGAGTGCCACCTACTTGACGTCCCTAAAAGAACATACTCGACGTAAGTCCAGCCTGCGGCATGACTGGCCGCGTGCAGTAGGTACAGCAGCAGTCGCTGGCACGGTGTCTCGTGTGCTGCCGTTACTCCGACCCCAGAAAAAACAAAAAAAATCAAAATTGCATGATCATGTCCANCTGTGTTGCACAAGGGGCCGTACTTCTTCGTTGCCCTGTCTCCTTTCCGGCTTGTGAACATGAGCCGTAGCCGCCACTTCCCCTTAGACCTCTCTGGATAGCATACGGGTTCAGAGGTTCTCTGCCAGCCATTGCGTGTGACTGCTGCTACTAGGCTCTCCATGCTGTGCACTCCTCGGTGCCAGCGGGTGCTGTGTGCATCCGTTGTGCACAATTTCAAAAAAAAATGAAATTCCGCCGCAAAAAAAAGCGTTTCATAATTTTTTTCCCCAGTCTTAAACCCAGATAAAATGCCGAGGGTTATCGTTTTTGGAGAGAATGTGTTCAACACGATTTCGAGA